TGTATCATGCCAACATCTGTGAGTGCGGAGGGGATTTTTAACCCCTAATCATACCAATCTCATAAAATGTTTGTTGTCTTTTTCTCGATAAAATAAAACTGCATTTAAGGATGAACACTTTTAGTTCATTTACACGTGTCTTCCAACGGAATTGGCTGAAAATTGGCAGGTATGTTCCCAGATACCCCCTTCGAAAAAGGGTGTCAGGCTTTGTTTAATTTCGCGTCCGTTTCAAAGTTATGGCCTCTTTAGTAGAAGGAAATGTCGGCATTGAAAATATCAAAGTTTAGGAGGGTGTAGAAAAAACAAACAAACCACACCTGGAAAATCGTCAACACCCTTTTTGAGGGTGATGTGTGAGAAAACATTTCTGATGTTAATTGTGCTGCTCCAATAATTCCACGTGGAAGCGAACCAGTTTAAGCGAAGCAGTGTTTCTGGGTATCTCTTCTAATATCACTACGACAATAACTTTTTAGATAATTTCACAGGTATGATTGTATTCTATAACTATTAAGCTTGCAGAAATAGTATAGGTTGATGGGGTTTTCTTTCAAAGGGCCAGCGTAACAGCGCGATTTCCAAACACTGTCAATCCACCTACCATGATACCTTAATCTCAAATCAAGACGTTGGTGAAAGTGCTTGAGTAATTGATGAGTGAAGTGTCAACAGTTTCCGGATTATTTTTAGTCTGTAACACAGTAAATTTGCATAAGTGTGTGTGTCCTCTGAACTCGCTTTTGAATCGAAAACCGTTGTTTTCATCAATAATATTGAATGTAAACAATCTTAGAAATCAAAATATTAACTACCGGAAAGATAATTTCGGTAAATCTGTACAAGTTTTGTCTGACAGCGAGAAAGGAAGTGAATTTTTGATTACATAACAAATCGAAAATGTAACCTTTGCTAAAATAGCAAATGCACATAGCAGAAATGGGCTTACTGTAGTTTGCGAAATGAAACCAAACGAAACGAATGTCCAAAGAATTGGAATGTGAAATGGAACGCAGAAGACGTCAGTTTGAATACTGAAAGTTGTGTTGATCTTAATTTCCTTGTTAAACACGCTTACATGTACCAAGAAAGTCAAAGTCTGTTGAGCGATTGATGGAAAGATTGCGATCTTCTGGTCAAATTAGGACCCCAATTAATTGTCTTGATGTTGAACTTGCCTACATGTACACGTAGCAACCAAGTTAAATAGTCTGTTGATTGATCGATAAAAGGCTTTCAGAGAACCGTACAAACATAGAGAAACGTTTTAAAAACGAAATGGCTTTTTAGGAGTTTTTAATAGCAAATGCTGCAAGATAAGCTGTGTCACAGGCCTTGCTTAACATTAACTGTAATTGAAACACGGCTATGAAAATTGTGAATGACTCGAAGGCAAAGAATGGTCCATGTTTACTTTTAAACATGACACTGTTAACATTTCTTTCATGTTTACAGACCTTTCTCCAGAAGTGAAGTTAAGCCACACGGGTTGAAAATTTCAGGGGTTACATCTTTTGTGGACGTGGTAAACATCCGAAATTGGGCGCCTGCACTCGAAAGTGAAGCTTCGTCAGATCATGCAAAGTTTTGCTGCGTTGTTGCTGCGTTGTTGCTGCATTGTTCGCTTTACAATAGGCTATTAAAATCTCGCGAGAAGTTCAGGCAGACAAGTCGAGACTCTCATCTCGCAAGACAAAAGTCTCGTCTCTCGAGACGAGAGTCTCATCTCTTGAGACGAGAGTCTCGACTCGCGAGACGAGATTCTTGTCTCGCAAGAAGGTGGTACCTTACTTTTGAGCGGTACTGTGTATCCTTATTTACTCCTTTTTAAAACTCAAGTAATAAAATGTTATATACATGTAATTTCCCATACATACCAATTCCCATTCTGTTTAGTTACACAAAGTGCAAATTTAAGATCGCTTACACCAGTTATAATGCAAGTTGTAAACAGTTTTCTAACTGTATTATTTTGACACTGAATGAAGAGCTTACGTTTGACAGGCAAAGGCCAAGGCAAAGATAGGCAGGTAATTAAGAAGATTCTCTGGCTGCCAGTAATTCAAGTTGTAGATCCAAGATCCTTCCAAAATTCTTGGCAATGCACTGAACAATATCTGTCATTGGATCAGAAAGCCATTCACTGATTATTGTACTTCAAAGTCCTGTTAAATACTATGTTTATGGTGCAATGCTTCGCAAGACACAGTAAAATAATTCTGTACACTGTTTGTAACATACTACTTTGGGAGAGTAAGACAAAGGGGTTATGAAAGATCTTGAGCAAGAGCTTAGGCAAGAGGCTAAGTGTGATTGGGCATATAAAATTTGTTGAGGCTGAATGTACACTGTAGTTTGACAAATTGTACTTCAAAGAAGTCAATTTGTTCAGCCATTTAGAAAACCACTGTGACAGTGTTTGTTTGAACAAGCCATTCTCACTAAATTGAAACTACTTTACAACAGGTTATTGTTAATATCATCTTTGGGGACGGTTCATTGTTTATTGGGATGACCAGGTCGAGAAAAAAGTGACCGGGCCATGAAAAATATTCGTTCCGAATTGACAGGCTACTAAATTTTTGGAGATCCAAACGACTGGGTTCTGAAGAATGATATGCCCTTCTTTACGGAACAGTAAGACCACTTCAAAGTTATGGTGATAAATGTACATGCATGGCAGTTACATGTGTCATCACTTCAGGCTTCTATTACCCTTTCATTGCAAATTGACCAAATTATCGCACTTTTCATGTAGAAAAGCTTACAGGCTAACAAACATACTACCGTTGTATATTTTTATCTTGAAAAAATGTAAAGTGAACTGACAACAATAAGCAAAAGAAACGACTGATTATAATGATATGGTGTTGCCTTACCCACAAATTGTGAGCTTTTAAACCACAAGCAAACCAGAGTGTTCAGACAACTAGGCGGTTTCGCTTGTTCCTGACTTTCGTTTTGCCTGAGTTTGTCTGTTTTCGTTTTGCCTGTTTTGTTTCTTTGTCTCAGGTTTCAGTATATGAAAATGTCTCGAAACACTATCTCAACTTTGAAATGAACACTTTGTTTACATTTGTATGCAAATGTACATGTTGCATGTTGAGCATGATGATGCGGAGAATATAGTAACAAAAAGGTAAAGTTAAACTCATTACAGATTGTTACAAGTTATTAATCGAGTTAGCAGAGAGGAAAATACAGTTTTCAACAATCCTATTGCACATACTTGCAGGCATGGGTATATTGTACATGTAGGTAAAGCCGTGGTACTGTTAGTGAAACGATTTGTAAATACTGTTGTTGAGTTTTTGCGTCAAACCATGAATTAATTATTGTTTCCATTGAAGGACGGTGCCTACTTTTGGTCAGTGCGCACGCGTTCTGTGCATCACGCAAGCTATGGTTTAGCTCCACGCGCGCACTGGGGCTGACATTGACGCAATCAACTACGCTATCATGTACACGACTAAAATGAAAGCAAAATTTTCCTACTGTGACCAAATCAAGTTTAATGAACCTGTACTTAAACCAGGAACACCAGAATAACAGCATATCGCTAACCACAAACTGTTTACGTCTTCCAGCTGAAAACCTAGCTATTATCTGTCGAAAATAATACTGAAATCCAACTGTAAACATGTACCTACAGATGGTGTAGTGCGCGCACAAAACAAGTGCGAGATACGCAAATGTCTCACTTACTGGGGAGGTGACAGGAAAAAATGCAACGGGCACCATAAAAGTTTTCAAAAAAGATCAATAACTTTAAAAAATGTGTGGTTACCCCTACATTTTACCTCATGAAATGGAAGTGGCAAGTCTATTCAACACGTGATTAGTTTCTGGTTGTGAGCAAAAGGTATTAAGCTGTATTTTAGCTGAACCAATGGAAGGCTGTCAGATACGTTAAAAGCACTTTTTCAACGATTTTGTTATTAAAAACATATCAAAAATGTTTTTTTTGTCACCATTTGCCATTAGTTTAAAGATCTTTTAAATGTGTTTGCTTTTCTGTATGTAAAGGTGAATTCTATGGAAATCTGTGAAGAAATATCCTTTCCTTCTTTTTTCAGGAAAATGATGTCAGCATTTTTGCTGAGATTCAAGGCTAATTATCTCGAAAAATGTGTGGCTACCCCCATTTTTCTTTGTGGATTCCATACTTTTTCTGCGTGGTCCTTACCTGGCGCAAAAACCTTTGTATTATTTAAGTAGGCACCGCCCTTAATGCTTTAAAAGATCAATTGATTTCTATAGGTTCATGGATTATATCATTTGATCAAGAGTGTTATATAAAAGTAATATCCATCACAACATTTTTCTGTCCTTTTTAATAGCTGTGTCTGACCAAAATATAAATTTTCCGAAGTTGACGTACTGTTGCCTTGTAATAGTGCTTATAAGCCTATGCTGTAAACATGGAAAAACATTCATTTACACCAGCTGAAATACATAAAATGACTTCATACTGTTACCGGTACTGTGTCAATTTTATATCAGCTTCTATAAAACGAATCAAGACAGGCTTTCAAATTTTGATATGATACTACGGCGGGCATTAGGAAAAAAGAAAAAAAGTCATTTCAATCTGATTTTCTGACCTGGTCATCCCCATAAATAATGAACCGTCCCTTAGCAACCAAGACAGGATTTAACAACAATTGACTGGCAAACAACTTTGCTCCTGGGTGAGGACAGATACTGTGTGTGTGTGTGTGTGTGTCATGTGTGTCTTGTCCAAAAAACATAAGGAAAATGACGAGGTAAACTATGCAATTCTGAATCTGTGGATATGGGATTCAACTAAATACACCATATATGTAGCTGTATGTCACATCACTCATGCTCCAAATAGTTTTGTAATGGATGATATCAACTCTTTATATAGACTACTGTATTGCAGTAACTAATAATTATTTGAATCGCCTTCTGTTAGACTTACCTGCAACACAAATCCTGCATAAAATATCAAAGAACAAGCACTGAATGAAGCTAAGCTGTGAAGATTTCTCATTAATGACAAAGGAAGACCAACACAAAATGCTAAAACTGTCATAAGAACGGCTCTGATAGTCCAGGACACCTGGAAAAATAACGCAAACAAAATAACAGACAATGTACATGTATAATTTATGCAGATACCTAGGACTGACAGTTTAAGAGATAATTAAAAATCAGTCACATTATAAAGTGATACTAATAAAGAAAACTTCCTTTACCTGCAATCCACTTAAATTTTGAAATATTGAAGGAACCAAGTCTCCAATTATTACATTGAATGCTATAAGAGTTCCAATAAGAAGACCGATGATGCTGGAAAAAGAACACAAAGACACTGTGTTCAGTTATTTATTGGACAGAGTGGAGCAATAAGGAAAGGTCAACAAATACTGTAGATTACAATAAATAATTTACAGTGCAGCCACCTTCCCTGTAGAAGAAAACTAATCAATCAAAATGCAAACTGAGAACAATGGACTGATAGCTTCTTGTGATGGTGAGTACAATGTAACAGTCCATTTGACGTGAAAAGATTAACACTATCGACTCCTCTACATTATGTACACTGGACTGTACACTGAGATTCAGTCCTTGATTTGACAGTGAATTACCATATTTTTTATTATAAACCTTGCTCAAAAAATTTAGCTTGAAAACTCATTTTGCAACAACTAAACCAAAACAGTTGAAAAGCGTACAAAATTTAGGATTGAAATTTACCAGTCAACAAATAGCAAAGTTTCCTGAGAAGTTGGCAACACCTGGCTCTTTGTTGGGTTTTCAAGTTTGTTAAGATCTGTTGTTCGTATTCTTCAATATTATTGGTTTATTTGAGAAAAAGATCACTTTCCATTGTTCTCAAGTAATGTTCTGATTGGTTAACTCTTTTCCAAGTGGCCTGGTTCGAGTAGTCACACTGTAATGCTACATGTATTATTATTTCTACCTTGCTTCAACTGCCAACTTGCCTGGAGCACCGTAAGTAGAAAATGCTAAAATAAAATAATAATAATAAATCAATTTCAGGAAGTTGAAGTCTTTCTGAAGTGTTATTACGAGTAATACCAAAAGACAGAAGTGTCCCTGAAAAGAAGCATTTTTTTGCAATTTTTTCCCTGAAAAGATGCATACATGTAACAAAACCAGAAGTTCACTGTTAGTACCAGGGAAGAATTCCTAAAACAATGCCTACATGTATATGATGGGAATTGAATAAGCACTTAGCCCTTATTAATAGTTATACATGTTTTTGCAACAATTTTGAAACAAAAAGCACCTTGCATTCCAATGCTGTAATTTGTACTGACAGAACTCAGTCATTATATTGTGATTTGTACGAAACTCAGTCATTAGCTGTAAACAAGACCTACAGTAACCCTGTAACACTCAAAAGTTTTGTTTTGCCCTGCTTATGTTGGTTGTGACAATAATCATCATTCCAGAGTTGCTGCAGAAAAACATGTTGAAGTATTTTGGTATGTTATATATCATTTTGGCCAGCCTTTTCATACAGCACAGTGCAAGTACCGTTAGGAGGCGCGGTGGCCTCATGGTTAGTGTGCTCGTCTCCGGATCGAGCGGTCCAGGTTCGAGCCCTGGCCGGGGACATTGTGTTGTGTTCTTGGGCAAGACACTTTACTCTCACAGTGCCTCTCTCCACCCAGGTGTATAAATGGGTACCGGCGAACTTAATGCTGGGGGTAACCCTGCAATGGACTAGCATCCCATCCAGGGGGGAGTAGAAATACTCCTAGTCACTTCATGCTACAAAAACTGGGATAAGCTCTGGCCTGATGGGCCACTTGGCTCGTATGCAGACTTTACCCAGTGCAAGTACCAATACTTATAGTTATAAAGTCTAAAATACATTGTTTACTCACCATTCTAAACCAAACAAGTTTTGTCTACTTACTATAACAACTCACCTAGCCCTTCATAATTTCTTCTTCGAGCCACCTGACCAGATTTTAGTAGCAGTTCACAGGACTTCTTAGTGAGCCAGGAGCTGCTGATAATAGCTATGCCACAAAGAACAATGCCACACTATGGATGTAGGATAAAAGAAATGATCTGACACCTACTGAAAAATATTTCTCTAGAATGATATAGTTCATCTAACAGTTTTTCAAATCTTGGATAAAACGGTCTTTGAACAAGGCTAGGGTCTAGCATATTTTCTAATCCAGCCAGGTGTTGCACGGTCATGTAACTGTTGTAATAAACACTAATCTGGTATGAGCTATTATGGAATTTCAATTCTTTTAATCAATAATATATAGATTTAGGCCAGTCTAAAAGCGTAGCTCCTGGGCCGGGTTGTTCAGAGCCAAATTAAGCTAACCCAGGAAAAGGTAGAATTTTGATTTGAGTTTTGCAGGTTTGCGTTAAGGTTTTCTGTATATTGTTTGGCCTTGTGTTTTGAGTTTTAATTATCACTATATACACAAAACAAAGCAGCAAAAACCATTTGTATAGAAGAAAAAGTTATAATTTGGTTATCGTGTAATGCTGGGTAAGCGTTAACCGGTTTCCGAACAATCCTGCCCTGTTTTCAACAAGTTAACCTGACATGAGCCCGCAATCCAATCGAAAACCAGCACTTGGTCAGTGGTCAACTTCAAAAAAACAAGTGACCTCGATGAGCTGTAAACTTGAGCCCGCAATATGGCCACGTGATACTGGTCAGCGGATACCTTATTTTGACAGGTGTCAATTGATCGTAACATGGGTGTCCAATATCAAAGAAGTACACGGTAAAACAAGGCTGCATGTCTCTCAACCTATTATTTAGAGTATGGCCGCCATGTCGCGCGACTCCGTCATCGTCGTCATCGTTGTCGCCGTCGTGCATACGTGCCCGCGGGCAATACCGCTAGCCATGATAACCTTGAGAAAATCAACTCATGGGTTTCCTTTTCTTTCCTATATGAGTATGGGGCTCCGCTTGGCGGCCCTTCGGACTGCCGGAGCTCCGCTATTAACTGGTTAATAATAATAACATGAACTTAACGATCATGTACATCACCAATGTATCACTTGGCGAATTGTGTAGCTTCTTACTCCCCCCCTCACAATGTAGATACCTACAGTCTAAAGCTAGAAACAACACAAGTAGGGGATACAATGGTAAAATCCAAGACTCACCAAGAATAGGAGACCCTCATATGAAATCTGAGAGCTAACCATTTTTGTCAAAATATCCAAGCTCAAAATACCGTGATTCAAAAACCCTAGCAGGAGAAGTGGTGATCTAGAAATCCAAGCATGAGACTTTTACAGCACTCTATGCCTCGTACTAGAAATTATCACTGATAAATTGGAAGTGGTTAGTAATAACTTGATTCCAGAGACAATCAGTTAAAGGTAACATGCAACTACTTATTAGCCAGCTTACAGATGTAGATACCTCTTAAATTACCTACATCTACATCTACATCTACATTTATTGAATCAACAGAAACTATATACAGTTATCACACTAACTTTAACACAAGAATTATAAAGTATACCTCACACCTCTTGGTGAGAAGTCTTTTAGGACTTCTCTTGCTAGCAGGCATTAGTAGCTGGCCTTTCTTTCCTAACCTTGTATTGCTGATATATATACAGTTAATTGTTTAAAACTTTATTGACACAATATTACGGACGTCCACTTATTATCTTAAGGCATTGTCAGTATTGAATCGAAGTTAGATTTGATCGATGTTTCTGATCCATGTTTTGTCTTCACTTTTATTAGAAGGACAAATATCAAAAAATGCCATGCTCTATTTACCCAAGAAAAGTGAACTATCATTTACGGTATTGTAGGAAGATAATCTACAGACAATTAGACAAAGCCTACTAAAATAGAATACATTTAAGGTTATGTCTACGCCTGGCGCAAAACATATATTGAAGTTCACTAGTTTCCTTTACATTACCTCTTGAAAGCAGAAGGGCATCGCCAAAACACTCACTCCAATGATGCAGTTAACCAGGTTAAATATTACAGGTCTAGTGCTCATTATGGAAAAGCCAGATCAGAGAAAAAATAAACAAAAAAGTTAAATAAAAGATGTTAAAAGTGATACAGGCTCATTTCAATGACGTCGATCTTGCCTTACACGCATGCAAATGGCGCTGGCAACCCGCTGGCCTGGTTACCTGGATATCAATTTGTTTTAGGGAGACCAAAGGGAAAATGTCACATCGAAAGCGAGGCAGAAGGATGATTTCCCATAATACCATGCCCTCGTGCAGTCTCTTCGTTCCTCAATATGGTGAGTAATGTGAAGAAATTGTAATTTGGTGAAAATTATCTGCTTCAATCTCCGTCATCTTTTTAGTTGTTGAGTTTATTTAAAAGTGGTTGTGTAGTTTAACTCTTTTTCTGGCAATTTTTATGTTTTTTAGGGGATAGACATCAAACGGAAGCACGCTAAGAAGAACGCACGAAAAGAGCCTGCCTCACAGAATGTCTACCTGAGGCTCCTCGTGAAGGTTGATCATTTTTCTACCTTATATTAACTTTAAAAAAATGCCTGTCGAACATAACTACTAAGGCTCTTATTTCGATTTTCTTGCAGCTCTATCGCTTTCTGGCCCGTCGTACAAATGCAACTTTCAACAAAGTTATTTTAAAACGACTTTGTATGAGTCGTGTGAACAGACCACCTCTAGCCCTGTCTCGTTTGGTAGGTGTCGATCAGTTCTTATCATTGTTTTACACGATCGTTCTGTGCGTAGATAGTATCATTTATTTTTGCTTTCTGTTTTGTTTTTGAAGGTGCGTAAAATGAAAACCAAGGGTGACTATGCTGGAAAGATTTGTGTTGTTGTTGGAACAGTTACTGACGATCTGAGGTTGTACGAGGTGCCACCATTGAAGGTTCGTCTGTTCGAGTTTTATAAACCTGCGAGCCAGCGAGCCATGCGAGCAATGCGAGTCATGCGAGTCATGCGAGTCATGCGAGCCCTAGTAAAAATGTTAAGATTTTTTATTTGTTACATTTACATGCACATGAGAACAAGAACAAGAGCAACGGAACAAGATGAATAAGATCGCAATATTAAATTCGTGCAATATTAAATTCTAAGGGAAGGGACAACCACATGCAGCAGTCAGCCAACCAACAAAGTTTTGGTAACTCTGATTCACTAAAGAGCGAACCTGTTAAAATTACGCAATTCACTCACCATTCTTGACGCCAATACACGGAGTTGCCCTGAAGTACTGTTCTCTTTTTTCTTGAATGATTTTCAACGTGGATATCAATGGATGACAGGTGCCAATGGATACCATTCACTTACCCATTCGAGTAGCGGTGGGACGGTGGAGGCGTACGTTTCTCTCAGAAAATTTTCTTTACTTTAGTCTTGAACCTCCGTCATCTCCGCTTTCAAGATGGCGGGCGGGCGGTTTATAGCGATAGTTTAGTGCTAGTCGGGCGCGAGATCTATGTTTCTTGGTGAAAAGTCGACGACCTCCCAGACCAATTGAAAAAAAA